CATGGCTTTTCCCTTTTTGCTTTTTTTTTGTAAAATAAATTATGACATGGTGTAATATGTCATGTATTGTTGTTCATCTGAGGTTGTATTTACCTACTTCTGAAAACTGCTAAGGACCAGATGATTTTTATTAGGTCCTGATATGTAAAACCATAGAACTCAAAGAGGGTGTGCTTTCTTTTTCAGATGACTGTAAGTAAATTTAACTCTTACCTTTTTAACAAAATAACTCTCTTCTTTCTATTCTGTCTAATCATCGAAGTCGTAGGTTCATTTTTTTCAGTTTCATGCAAAAAAGTCTATCGGGGTGGCAAGATGCTATCTCTCAGCAAACTTACCCGTGCACATAGAAGAGTGTATAAAGTTTTTTTGCATCTCTCATGCAGCTGGGAGTGACAGAAAGAACTCCCTTTGATCCAACTGTGAGGGGCTCAAGAGCAGGGTTGCCCGACTCGACGAGCTGAGAGAACAGGCGCTCCACACTCCGGCGGCAGCCAACGCAGGGGACCAGCTGAGAAAGGGCACTCAGGACTTCACGTGACGTCACCATCATGGCGATGCTCAAATCCTGCTGCTTGAGCATGCTATGCCTCTGGAGTTGGAAAAGAGCAAGGACTTCTTTCAAGGGGTTCAGGGCAATGGAGAGAGATACGTAGGAAACTATTTATCTGTTGCCTTGCTTGTTTGCCAAATCTATATGGCCACACATCTTAAAAAAACAACTCTGGGTGACTAACAAACAATACATAAAAATCATAATACAGATACACACACACATATATATACATATGGGTTCCATTAATGTCTTGGCTCTAATGCATTTCTTTTTAAAATAATTCACCTCTTTAGCTCAGGAGTCAAAAAATGAGAATCAGAAGCTGCTCGAGATGTTTTGTTCATCTGAATTCACATCTTCAAGTGGCCAAGGTTGAGAAACACTGCTCCAGTCCTGCTTTGCTTCCCTGTGGGAAGACTATCTCGGAAGAGGGAGCCATATAGCTTCTGATCCATAGTGGGTTGTCAGGTCAAAGACCTGGGTGAATCCCATGGCTTGTAAGTCAGAGGTCCTCAAACAGTGGGTCAGAACCTCCCCATCGGATTGTGAGTTATTTAGAAGGTGCATCACAAGCTTTTTTAAACATGATCGGTCTTCCTCTGCCAAAATTCACTTTGCCTGCACAAGCCCATAATGAGCAACTACTGCACCCCAAAGTCTGAAACCCCTCTGATATAGAAATTAAAAGAACAATGATTAAAAGTAAGATGCATACTTGTCCACCTCTAAGACCGGTTTTATTGATGGGGTAAGATGCACAAATTAGCTTATCTTTTTAGGAAGCATTGGTACTGCAAAATTCGAGAACTAGATGTCAAGACTCTTAAGTCAAAGAAATTTAGAATTCAATTTCTCTTTGGCCAGAAAAATTGGAAGTTCCCAAACAACTCTGACCAGGAAGGCAAACTGAATGTCACAAGTTATCTGAAAAGCATGGAGCCACGATTTCTGACTAAGTGAGGGGACTGGGGTGCTTGCTTTCTAAAAAATTAATTCATGTATTAAATACCTAAGCTTACTACAGTCTATAGCGGTGGGAAATGTGGAAGGAAAGACAAGAGGACGACCACAGAAAAGTGGATGGACTCAGTTATAGTAGCAATGGGCCCACTGTTGGAAGACCAGAAGGACCAGGTTGAGGACAGACTCTCCTGGAGAAAAATCTATCTATGTGGTTCCCAAGAGTCAACACCGACTTGATGACACATAAGCAAGCAAGCTTAATGTGTCTCTTCTCATTCTTATTTTGCATCTCCTAGAAGAACAGAACTGGAGTTGGAACTTGATTGCAATTTCCAAATTGAAAAATAGCATAACTGGGTGACATGATAATATCCTATCTGAGATGTATTAAAATAAATTTAACCAACATACACCACCATCATCAGTCGGGGGATGCAAAAAAGCAGGACACAAAGGCTATTATGTGGCTCATTGTGAGTTCATCCTTCCTCTAGAGCAGAGTTTCTCAACCTTGGCCACTTGAAGAAGTGTGGACTTCAACTCCCAGAATTCCCCAGCCAGCATGGAATTCTGGG